TGTGAGAGTATGGCAGCCCGCTGGTCAAGGTGTCAATCCGGCCTATACCGTGGAGCAGCACACGGGCCCAACCCCCAGTGTTATGGTGTGAAGAGCCATAACATACGACAGTAGGACACCTCTAGTTGTCATGCGTACTACCCTCACAGCCAAACGATATGTGCAATACATCCTCCAGCCACATGTGTTGCCTCTCACGGAAGTGCTTCCGACAGGCATATTCCAGCAGTGTGTGCCCGGCCACACACTGCAGTGGTCTCCCAAGCATGCCTACGTAACGTTGCCACACTTCCTTGGCCTGCACGGTCTCCAGATTTATCATTAATTGAACATGTGTGGGACCACTTGTCAGATCCTGCCAGCTGCGACAGCCGCAGGATCTGACGCATCTTGAGTCCTAATCGCATCATGCATGGACAGATATGCCTCAGAACATTATTCGCGACCTTTATGCCTCCATGCCGAGGCGTATCACAGCTTGTATCCGCGCTAGAGGCGGCCCAACAGGATATTAGTACCTGCACTGTATTGCATATTACTGCACAATAAAGTATGTTTTTGTTTTATGGTTGCAATCATATATCTGTCTAGCAATGACGATGTAATATACCAATTTTTATTCAAATCCAACAAGTCCTTCATGGTGCATTATTTTTTTGGTCGTCCAGTGTATCATATGACCACTTAAAACTCTCATTTTTGATAGACTATTATCATCAAAGTTTTTTTGCAACATTTCCAATGTTTTTCTAGCAGTAATTCTGTTGCGAAAACAAAATTTAATGTATGTTCTTTGCTTAATTATACTTAACATTTTGAAAAATTGCTGGTGCAAAAATTCTTTACACACTTATTTGCAATTAAAATATTTACAATTATTTGCACATTTACAATTTATTTGCAAACAAAAACAGACAAATGACATATGGATTGCTGCTATATGTCAATGAAAGTCATACCAAATGACAACAGCCCTCTTGCAAGAGCATAGTTTAAAAGAACTATTCCAATACGTTTTTATTACAGTAATAAACACAATTGCTGAGGCAGTTAAGGAACCAGCTTACAGCTCTGGGAATCTGTAATTGAATCCAAGCAGATTGAAATATTCCAGGGGTATTTTGGAGGTGGTCTGTCCTGGATTTGTTGGGTTTATCTATGCCAACCAGCTGTCCCATTGTGGGCCTGGCCAAATTCTTAATGGCTTGGAA